CACACACACACACACACGCACACACACGCGCACTCACAGACACGTAGAGACACTGTTAGTTACATAGATTTACGAGGGAGCGTGTGAGTGCATGTGGGCTACACACACACTCACACCAGGGTGGACATACTAAAACAAACACCCCCCTCCCACGCCGCTCGCCGCCAAGGTGGGCGGAGGTCGTTTGCAGCGGCGCTGATTGGTGACCTTTGGTGACCTCGACGTTGAAGGGGCCTGGACCTCGCCCGCCCGCCCGCTCGCTCGCTCGAGTGACCCTCCGCGTGGCTCGTCATCACGGGGGGTCAGGGTTAGGGTCAACTTCGGTCGTCGGTGTCGTAAATTGGTTTGCCACTTACTTGCCTTCCGTGTCCAGAGACTTACATCAGAGCCAATGACTCACGTAGGCTCACACATCCTTACATAATGAGCCATGAACTCACGTAGCCTTATATAGGAGCAATAAACTCACATAGCCTTACATAGGAGCTAGAGACTCGCATAGCCTTACATAGGAGCCGTAAACTCACATATCTTTACATAGAGGCCATAGACTCACATAGTCTTACACAGGAGCCATAGACTCACATAGTCTTAAACAGGAGCCATAGACTCACATAGACTTGTATAGAGGCCATAGACTCACATAGTCTTACACAGGAGCCATAGACTCACATAGACTTGTATGGAAGCCATAGACTCACATAGACTTACATAGGAGCCGTAAACTCACATATCTTTACATAGGAGCCATAGACTCACATAGACTTACATAGGAGCCATAGACTCAAATAGATTTACACAGGAGCCGTAAACTCACATATATTTACATAGGAGCCATAGACTCACATAGACTTACATAGGAGCTAGAGACTCACGTAGACTTACATAGGAGCCATAGACTCACATAGACTTACATAGGAGCCGTAAACTCACATATCTTTACATAGGAGCCATAGACTCACATTGCCTTACATAGGAGCCATAGACTCACATAGACTTACATAGGAGCCATAGACTTACATGGACTTACATAGGAGCCATAGACTCACATAGACTTACATAGGAGCCATAGCCTCACATAGACTTACATAGGAGCTAGAGACTCGCATAGACTTACAGAGGAGCCATAGCCTCACATTGCCTTACATAGGAGCCATAGACTCACATAGACTTACATAGGAGCCATAGACTCACATAGACTTGCATAGGAGCTAGAGACTCGCATAGACTTACATAGGAGCCATAGACTCACATAGCCCTACATAGGAGCCATAGACTCACATAGACTTACATAGGAGCCGTAAACTCACATATCTTTACATAGGAGCCATAGACTCACATAGTCTTGTATAGGAGCCATAGACTTACAAGCGAATTTGTCTTCTGGAAGATGTGTTGTAATCTAGATTTTCAAAACCATATTCCGGAAGGCCGTTCTCCACAGCCAAACATTACCGGCCAGGGGGCAGGAGGTACCGACAGCCGTCTACAATCACCTTGCAGAAGAATCTCTCTCCCCATTGCATAGCGGCGTGTTAAATATTCATCTTCTGGAAGGCAGTGGCTCTCCATAGCGATACCGTATTCTCGCCATTATAAACCGATGTGTTTTTTTTTATTTCCTTTAAAAATATCACCGCACAGTTTTGAGAGCGTCTAATTATCCAGAGACTTACGGAAAATGCAAACATAACAATTATTAGCAGATTTCATTGTTGTTGTTGTTGTAGAAATCCATTCTGAGCTCCTCCGATATATACTTGTTCCTTTCAATCGATTACTTTATTTATCGACACTTGGTCCACACCTCGCACATGCCCCTGCAAAGAGCGTTCAGCGAGATATTCTGGAGGAACTACGTGGCTAACGTCGCATCACCGCGTGCGTGACCTTGCTGGTTCGCGTGCCAATGAAACCGAAACAATTGAATTCTCGTGACGCTGGAATTTCCCCAAATTGGGTAAATAAAAAAAATAACCCCAAATGTAATATCACGGCGTATCTGTGCAGTATCATTGGTGATTGGGATGAGACCATCAATTTAACACGTAGGCTTTCGCGACTCAATATTATTCATAAAAAACTTTTTGGGTGGGTGAGATCGCGTTATTTATAAATATGTCGTAACCCTCCACCACCCGACACGGCCAATCAGTAAAAAAAAGCGTCACGTTGACAAAAGACAAACAGTTCACTACTTTAGCCCACCGGTGTGTTTAAGAGTGAATCCACAACAATAACAATTTTTGAGTACCACGTTTCGCTGGTAATTGCATCCATCATGAACCCGCTACAATCGAGGATCCCGGCAGCTGCCTGGACTCGAACCGAGGCCCTCTGCAGCACGGGCTCAGTGCTCTGACCCAGGAGCCACCGGGTCACCACCCACACTCATCTATTTATTTATATAAATTTATTTATTTATTTAAAGCTTTTGTGACTGCAGGGATTCATCTTCTTGGTTCTTTCGGTAAAGTCATGTAGAAGGGAAATAATTAAATAATAATAAAAAACATCATAAAATAATTCTCACGACGTTTCGGCCACAACGCAAGCAGCCGTCCTCAGGTGAAGAACAGGTCTGTCGGAAAGACAGCGTCATTCAGACTTCTACGTGACTTTACCAAAAGAACCAAGAAGATTTTTTTTTACTTCATCTGAATAATCACAAGGCCAAAGAGGCAACTTGCATGCGCGGTTCCGTCCTTATCAAGGTTCATCAGCACCGTACGGTACTGCCAATCGCGCCTGGATGATTGACGGGGCAATGTAGGGAAGAGGACCGGTGGGGGAACGGTTGTGGGAGGTGGGGAAGGAGGTAGGGGGGGTAAGGGGGGGTGTCAAGTTCTTGAGCGCAATGCGCGCGACGCGAGTGGAGTTATTGGCTGCGTCGGGGAGCCCCCAAACGTTACCCCGAGGGCCTCCGTGCCTGCTGCCGCTCGCTCGGCCGTTACGTCCAATTGAGCGATTCGCTGGGAATCTGTTGAACATTTTTTTTGGGGGGGAAATGCCACGAGGCGCCGTTAAAAAAGATTCGCCGAGCATCCCCGGAGAGAGGCGGTGCGACGCCGCGCTACACAAGGACAACGGGAATGTCAAGATGCGTGCCAACTGCCACTGTACCGGCCCCGCAAGCGATGCCCACCGGCTCGCGTAGAAGACCCACAGATTTACGTCGAGACCAGTAGGTTAACATAGGAGACCCGTATGCTTGCATAGAGACCCATAGGGATGCATTGAGAGCCATAGGCTCGCATGGAGACCCATAGATTTCTACGCTTACACAGAGACCCATATGATTACATTGAGACTCGTAGCTTTATAGACTTATATAGAGACCCATAGGATTACATTGAGAGCCATAGGCTCGCAAGGAGACCCATAGATTTCCACGTAGATTTATAGACTTACACAGAGACCCATAGTATTACATTGAGACTCAGAGATTTTATAGACTTAAAGAGAGACCCATAGGATTATATTGAGAGCCATAGGCTCGCATGGAGACCCATAGATTTCTACACTTACACAGATACCCATATGATTACATTGAGACTCGTAGCTTTATAAACTTATATAGAGACCCATAGGATTACATTGAGACTCATAGATTTATTGACTTGCCATGAATACCCATAGGATTGCATTAAGTCTCGTATACTTACATAGAGACCCATAGATCTATACACAGACGTATAGATTGCATCGAGACCCATAGGATTAAATGGAGAATAATAGGCTAAAATAGAGACCCATAGATGTACACAAAGACTCATAGGCTCACATAGATGCCCACAGGATTACATGGATGCTCAATGGCTTACATACAGACCCATATATTTATACAGACTTATAAACGTACATGGATACCCATAGTATTACATGGTGACTAATCGGCTTATATAGAGACCCATAGATGTATACATAAACTCATAAGCTTACATACAGACCCATAGATGTATACAGAGACTCATAGGCTTACATAAAGACCCATATATTTATACATAGATATATAGACTTACATGGATACCCATATGATTACATGGTGACTAATCGGCTTACATAGAGACCCATAGATGTATACAGAAACTCATAGGCTTACATACAGACCCATAGATGTATACAGAGACTCATAGGCTTACATAAAGACCCATATATTTATACATATATTTAAAGACTTGCAAGGATACCCATAGGATTACATGGTGACTAATCGGCTTACATAGAGACCCATAGATGTATACAGAAACTCATAGGCTTACATACAGACCCATAGATGTATACAGAGACTCATAGGCTTACATAAAGACCCATATATTTATACATATATTTAAAGACTTGCAAGGATACCCATAGGATTACATGGTGACTAATCGGCTTACATAGAGACCCATAGATGTATACAGAAACTCATAGGCTTACATAGAGACCCATATATTTATACACAGATTTAAAGACTTACATGGATACCCATAGGATTATATGGTGACTTATCGGCTTACATAGAGACCCATAGATGTATACAGAGACTCATAGGCTTACATAGAGACCCATATATTTATACACAGATTTAAATAGTTACATGGATACCCATAGGATTACATGGTGACTAATCGGCTTACATAGAGACCCATAGATTTATACAGAACTCATAGGCTTACATATAGACCCATATTTCGATTTAAAGCTTTCGTGGCTGCAGGGATTCATCTTCTTGGTTCTTTCGGTAAAGTCACGTAGAAGGGAAATAATTAAATAATACAAATAAAACATTCTAAAAATATTAAATAATAAAATAAAACATACAAAAATACTATGTTTTATTTTCATTACTTTATTATTTCCCTTCTACGTGACTTTACCGAAAGAACCATGAAGAAAAAGACCCATATATTTATACACAGATTTATAGACTTACATGGATACCCAAAGCATTACATGTAAAATAACATTTAAAAACACCACCACCACCACCAGCACCTTCTTATGAAGAAGCTCACCTCCTCCCACTGGTGGATGTAGCGAATGAGCCTGGACAGACGCAGCAGCCGCAGCAGGCTGAGGATCTTTGCGAAGCGCACGATGCGCAGGGCGCGCGCCGTCTTGTACACGTCCGAGTCCATGCCGCTCTCCACGATGAGGAAGATGTAGTCGACGGGGATGGAGGACACCAGGTCCACCAGGAACCAGGTGCGCAGGTACGTGCGCTTGATCTTGCGCGGGTCCAGGATGATGTCGGTGTTGTCCTCGACCACGATGCCCGTGCGGAAGTTGAGCACGAGGTCGACGAGGAAGAATGTGTCCGAGAAGACGTTGAAGATGATCCACGGCGTCGTGGTCTCCTCCTTGAAGAAGGTGATTCCCACGGGGATCACGATGAGGTTGCCCACCATCAGCAGCAGCATGACGAGGTCCCAGTAGAACCTGCGAGAATAATTTTTTGAAGAGATGAGATCGGCCGGTGAGGGGGGGAGGGGAGGGGGGGGGGCTACGTGCGGCACATGTGCGAGGTGGGAGCGGTCCAGCAGCGGTTACGAACCCGGCAAATCCGACTTTGATTCCCACTCATGACCAACAACAGCGGTGAATATTTTAACCGGCCCTGGGTCTCCCCTAAGTCGATGCAGGCATAAATAAGTACCTGGTGCAGCGTGTATACATCAGCACTGGGGTATACAAAGGCGACCGGGCGTCGTATTGAACATCCACTCCCTCCTATGCCCTGCAGGCCTTCATACTTTCCCCAACAGTCTGTTAAGAGGATATACAGAGGATCACTGTCCGTCTCTTGTTTGAGGAAGAAGATAGGTGAAGGTGCACCACCTGTAATTTTCTCAATCTTTTGCTCATGCTTTTATTACCTTGTGTGTCTCGTTTGATTTCGATTTAAAGCTTTCGTGACTTCAGGGATTCATCTTCTTGGTTCTTTCGGTAAAGTCACGTAGAAGGGAAATAATAAATAAAATAAATTCTCACGACGTTTCGGCCACAATGCAAGCAGCCGTCCTCAGGTGGAGAACAGGTCTGTTGAGAAGACTCCGTCTCGACAAACCTGTTCTCCACCTGAGGACGGCTGCTTGCATTGTGGCCGAAACGTCGTGAGAATTATTTTATTATGTTTTATATATTTTTTTTATTTCCATTCTACGTGATTTTACCGAAAGAACCAAGAAGATGTCTCATTTGAGTTAAGTACCACGGACAGCCCCTTGTGTTCAGCACCACGGACAGCGCCGTGTGTATTTCACTGGGGATAAGAACCACGGACAGCCCATTGTGTTCAGCACCACAGACAGCTCCGTGTGTATTTCACTGGGGATAAGAACCACGGACAGTCCCTTGTGTTCAGCACCACGGACAGCCCCTTGTGTTTTAATTTTTGATTTAAAGCTTTCGTGACTGCAGGGATTCATATTCTTGGTTCTTTCGGTAAAGTCACGTAGAAGGGAAATAATTAAATAATAGTTTTATATATAAATATAAACAATAAAAACAATATACTTTTTTATATTTATAGTATTTATTATTTCCCTTCTACGTGACTTTACCGAAAGAACCAAGAATATGAGCCCCTTGTGTGTTTGACAAATTATACGAACAAATAGTAATATCATCATTTCTCACCCAGCACAGATATGGAAATTGTTCGGTTTCAATCATTTGTATGTATTCGCTCAAGAAAAACCTCACCGAATCTCAAGATTAATTTTCAAGTGTGCTTACTACAGCACCTTTTAGGGGGGAACCTGGATACACGGAGCATACCCACGCATAAAAGAAGGATACAACACACTGTGCTGCACAGATAGTCAGCCTGACCTAACCTACTTGCTGCACTCCCTCGTATGAGCAACACCACTCTGTCACGCAAGGTGAGTGCCTCCTTGAGCACCAAATCTGTGTGATCCATCAACTCTGCCTCGACGTCAGATTCACACCCGGCTATTAAACAATTCCATTTTGGAAGATTCGTTATTTATCCTGCTAATGAATGCACGAGGGGGCATTCCGTTTATTTGATTTTCGACTTAATTTCGTAAAGTTCACGCTCTAAAAATGTAAAATATCGGTTGGGTCAATCACGCGATGAACGTTCGTCTGGAGCAGGTTGGGTGGAGAGATGGCACACGCCCGAGTGTGATGAAGGTTACCACTTATAGAGGGACACCCAGAAGTATTTCTGTGATATCGGCTTTCGCGATCCGCTCTCTATCACACAGCGTGGTGCAATTCTCGCTTTGTGAGAGCGACGTGACGCCAATAGCAGAGAGGGAAGAGAGAAGACAGGGGAGACGAGGAGAAGGAGGAGGGAGAGGCTGCCTCAGGACCCTGACGATGCTGCTTCTGCACGGAGTGGCGTCTGTTCTTGCAGTGGGCGGGGCGAGTGGCCACTTCACAGAAATCACCTGATTCGCATGAAGGCTTGAGCTGACGTAGAAGAGCTCACCGTACCCTGGGAGGACTCAGTAGATGAGGCTTATGAGCGAAAACATCTGCGCTATGCCGATCTAGCTGCCGAAGCACGGCATCATGGCTGGAACACAGAAGTCCGACCAGTGGAGGTGGGCTGCAGAGGTTTTGTGGCAACATCTACAACCAGACTGCTTAGAGACCTGGGAATTAAGGGCCAGAGCCAGCGTTCGGCAATCAGAGCTGTATCGGAGGCGGCAGAAGGCAGCAGTCAGTGGCTCTGGATGAAGAGGAAAGACCCCAGCTGGGCCCCAAAGTGAGAGGGCCAGGAGGCATGCAGTCAACAATGCTTGACTCAGGGACGAGGACGCCCCTGCCATGCATAGTCCCATGGGATGTTGGCTATCAACAACAAGGCAACTCCTATGACTAATTGGGAATGGGACGCAAGCGTAGGATTGATCACCCTGTCGCTGGCCGCCTTTGGGGAGGGTGTATAGTATGAAAGGCCGAAACACCCTAGGACCCAAAGGTTCACTACTGACGATGCGCTCCCCAAATTTCACCAGGCTCACTGTTCATGAACTCTTGGAAGTGCTTGCACAAAGGATAGTAACATCTCATCCTGTGTTCTTTGGAATCTTGCAGAACAAAAGCAGACGCGATGTTGTTGAACGTAGCAGGCGCATGAAATGTGAAAAAGGATTTTTACTAAATTTAGTGTTCACTTTTGGGAATAGATTTTGTGCTTGTCACAGCAAGTCTAAAATTACGTGTTGCTTGCAAATTAACCCAATTTGCCCGGAGTATTTTTAGCCTTGCTTTCAAACACGATCACATTGACCCTATTTCCATCCTGGTAAAAAAAAACCAAAAAAACACGATACTGTTCAGCTCGTTTTGTCAATCCACTGCTGGATGAAGGCCTCCCCACGTCGTATCGGTGACGGAGGGGGAAGAGGTTATCTGACCATACATCACCACACTGGTTGGTGAAGAACGAAGGTGCCCAGAACCCCTTAATCAGATATAATTTACCACTGATGTTAGCCGATGCCGGTAATCGAGCGAGCTGGCTTCATCGTGCAGTGAAGCTACCCAATACGCCCCCCCTTTCCCCCCAACGCCTCCACCCCTCCCCCCACCACAAGTCCTAATAGCGCCCGTTAAGAGTCCATAAATCAATCACTGCTCTTAACGGCGGCCCACTCTAAAACTCAGTGCCTCCATTGGAGAGCAATCAGAAACCTCGGCTCCCCATTCACTTCCTCCATAACCGGGCACTGAGCACACACGGCCCGGGTTCTCTCTCTCTCTCTCTGAGAGTGATGTTTGTTTAAAAAAGAAAACAACACAGATTATCGTTTTCTCTCTCCCCGTCTCTATCCGGCTAACCCGAGCGTTCCCTCCCCCCCGGGTCAACAATCCGACGAGAGATATGCGAGCTGACAGACCCAACCGTGCAGAAGGCGATTAATGGGAAGAGGCCACTCACGAAGGCGGAAAGGCCGCGTGGTGTCTCCCAGTTGGCCGGGGGGGTAGGGGGGAGCGTGGGGCGTGGGATTCCACCCCTAATCCGGTTTCCAGGCAGCGCCGTGGAGTGTCGGGTGGCGCGCGTCCAGACATCACCTGGCCAGCCGATAGCCCGAGGGGTTCCGACACCTGGTTTGTCCCGGGCAGTCTCCTCGCGCCCAAGCGCTAATTACACGCAGGCTTAAAACAAAATCCTGCTGAGCTTCTGAGCTCTTGTCAGATCAGCCGCGGCAATTATGGTGATCGGGTCTTAGTGTAAAGTAGAAGAAACCGGTAGAGAGCTGGCGTGAAATAAACGTGACTCGAGTGTCTTCTTTGTTCTTTCGGTAAAGTCACGTAGAAGGGAAATAATAAAATAATAAGAATAAAACATAATAAAATAATTATCACGACGTTTCGGCCACAACGCAAGCAGCCGTTTTCAGGTGGAGAACAGGTCTGTCGAGAAAACAGAGTCTGAATGACACACTCCAGGCTTGGAGCGACTATTTAAATTGTCTATTTAAATAGACTATTTGGCTTGGAGCGACTTTTTAAATAGTCTATTTAAGTAGACTATTTAAATAGTCGCTCCAAGCCTGGAGTGTGTCATTCAGACTCTGTCTTCTCGACAGACCTGTTCTCCACCTGAGGACGGCTGCTTGCGTTGTGGCCGAAACGTCGTGAGAATTGTATTTTATTATGTTTTATTTTTATTATTTTATTATTTCCCTTCTACGTGACTTTACCGAAAGAACCAAGAAGATGAATCCCTGCAGTCACGAAAGCTTTAAATCGAAAAGTGACTCGAGTGATTGCCAAGTATGTGGCCCAGCCATCTGTGGGTATCCGGAAATGGCGAGCACGTGGATAAGTGACGCCCCACGGGCTTGTCGCGATGTGGTTGAGAACATTTTGGATTTAAAAAAAAATCTGTTATTTCTGAGTCCACGTGTTTCTCCTCTCCCCAGCAAGGTGACACGCGCGCTGGCGGTTATGCTGACGATGAAACATTTAAATACGCAGCAGCGCGCGAACAGCAGGCGCAGCGTTAATGCAGTGTAGTTGCATAAATTAAATGTAATTATAGTGCCGTTGAACTCTTACACAAATTGGGGGGTGGGGGGTGGCGGGGGGCGTGCGGGTGAATTCCGTATTCTCTGAATGATACGATGCTCCGGGAAGTAAAAACGCATCTCCCAAAACTCGTGCCCAGTGCAAATAAAGTTCTACAAATCTGGTGACACAAACACACGCACGGCCAGAACTCTGGCAGCGAGGTGAGGTGGGCAGGTAGGTGGGTAGTCGGTAGTTATATAGATAAAGAGTTATTTTGTTACATAGCTATTTATATAGATCATTGGGTAGGTATTATGGGCAGAAATATAGTTTGCTAGGTATAGATCGGCGTTATAGGTATTTAAGGTGATATAGATATTGGTGGTTGGGTAGGTAGTTTCAGTTTTGTTGCCAGAAAAAAGGGAAAAAACCCTATTATTATA